CTTGGTAGATGAGGAAGGTTCCCCGGACCCGAAACGTTAATTCTGATTTTTTTTCTTCAAAGATGCTGCCAGACCTGCTGGGCTTTTCCAACAACTTTTGTTTTTGTTCCTCATTTACAACATCCGCAGTTCTTTCGATTTTTTTTCCTTGGATTGACAGTCCAGCAATAATACCACCAGGCCATCACTTCCCCATGCAAGATCCTGAGGAGACCTGATGGGGTAGATTTGAATGGTTGTTTCATCTTGTGGGAGAATCTAGAACCAGAGGTCATAGTTTAAAAATAAGGAGTCACCCATTTAAAACAAATGAGGAAACAATTTTCTTTTCTCAGAAGATAGTTTTTGGAATGCCCTTCCTCAAAAGACAATGGATACAGAATTTTTAAGGCGGAGGTAGACAAATTTTTGATTACCAAGGGGATGAAAGATTATTGGGAATATGCAGGAATGTACAGTTGAGGTTAAACTCAGACCAGCCATGATTTTATTGAATGATGGATCAGGTACAAAGTACCGAGTGGCCCACTCTTGTTCCTTGTTTGTATGTTTGATTTACATTCAACTTAATTGTGAACTATGCTTGGGGTCAGGTTCCCTTTAATAAAACTCGTAATCTGACTTTTCTTAAATACCTGCATCTACCGAGCACAGAACGGCTGAGGTTTATCCAACTGTTCTTCTGGTGGAAAAAAAAACAAAGTTGCTGGAAAAGCTCAGCAGGTCTGGCAGCATCTGTGAAGGAGAAAACAGTTAACGTTTCGGGTCTGGTGACCCTTCCTCAGAACTGATGGTGGCTGGGAAAACCTCAGTTTATATGCAGAAAATAGGGAGGTGGGTGGGGTAGGGAGTAAACGAAAGAATAGAGCCCAAAGTTCTTCTGGTGGTGCTGATTCTCAGAAGAAACAGGTGCAGAATGAAGCAGAGACAAAAGATTGTGCACGCTGAAGAATGGCAGCTGCCACCAGCTCACACTGCAGAGGAGAAGGAGTAAGACTTCACTTCTAAGGTGGTGCAGTTTCTGCCACAGAACCATATCTATTGGTTCAGTTGGAGCTATCTGCAAATTGCTAAGATCCAATGCCAAAACATATTAAGGGTGTCCCAAACCACTCTGTCATGCCTATGCCAGCTACTGGACAAGTAACCTGCTTATAAAGACTGGGTGACAATTCCATCCCAGGAGCCCCAAAGATTACACTTGTTCCTAACTTATTTGTTTGATCCATTTGATAAAGCAACTGGGGACCTCTGCAGCATCTCACAATTGTTGATTTAAAAGTGCACCCACAATGTCTCCGATATGATGTTTGCCAGGGTCCACAGCTTTGTTTTCTGTTCCCCTTCATGCAGCTAGTCAAACAGCTGCAGCATCAGGGTTCTCAGCCATTGCTGGTTTCTGTGTGTACAGGGTGAAATCAATTGAATCCACATAGCACCTAACATCAACGAGCAGGGTTCATCGAACAGAATAGGATTCCACTCTCTTAATGTTAAACTGAAATGTGACTGTAACAATCACATTTTAGAAGTTATGCAAGAGATTTCCAAGAACTTCTCTAATTCATTTTTATTGGAACATTCACAGGTGCCAATCCCTTTCCAAGGTCCTGGCTAATAAAAGGACAGTTGCTGATAGAGGAAAGATCTCCCTTCAGACTTGGTTCATGACCACCCCCCCCGCCCCCCCATCAGACTGCTGGAGAACAAACATAACCCACATTTCAACAGGTGCCATTGTGTAGCAGACCAAAGTTCAGGTAAGACCTGCTGTACCACATCAATGTGTATGCTGCCCCCTCCGCAATCTGAACCACCAAGGGGGGAATGTTTTGGATGAGGAGAAAATGTAGGCAATACAGGAATATTCTGAGGGGAAAGGTAGATAAATCCCGAGGATCTCATCAGGTGTTTCGCAGAACTTTGTGAGAAGCTTTGGCAGAGAGTGAGTGACATGGTGGCTCAATGGTTAGTCCTGCTGCCCCACAGCACCAGGGATCTGGGTTCAATCCCAGCCTTGGGTGACTGTCTGTGTGGAGTTTGCACATTCTCCCCACATCTGCATTGGTGCTCTGGTTTCCTCCCACATTCCAAAAATGTGCAGGTTAGGTGGATTGGCCATGCTAAGTTGCCTATAGTGTCCAGGGATGTGTGGGCGAGGTGGACTAGCCATGAGAAATGCAGGGTTTATAGGGATTGTGTGGGATGCTATTCAGAGGGTTGGTGTGAATGTGATGGACTGAATTGCCTGCTTCTGCACTGTGGAATTTTATGATTGCTGGGCCCCTTGTTGATGTATTTGTATCATCCGTAAGGTGCAAGAGGACTGGAGGTTGGCTAATGGGATGCCATTATTTAAGGAAAAGCCAGGGAACTATAGACCATTGAGCTTTACATCAGTGGTGGGTAAGTTGTTGCTTTCTGAGGCACAGGATTTACATGCATTTGCAAAGGTAAGGACTAATTAGGGATGGTGAACGTGGCTTTGTGCAAGGGAAATTGTGTTTCACTAACTTCATTAAGTTTTTTGAAGAGGTGACAAAGAAGATTGATGAAGGCAGAGTAGTAGAGGTTGGCTATATGGATTTCAGCAAAGCATTTGACAAGGTTTTGCGTGGTAGACAAGTTAATAGGTTAGATCACATAGGATCGAGGTGAGGATTGAAGGGGCAGCTGGCCAATTGGAAACAAAATTGGCTTGATGTTAGGAGACAGAGGGTGGTAGTAGAGGGTTGCTTTTTGGACTGGAAGCCTGTAACCAGCATTGTGCCACAAGGATCAGTGCTGGGTTCACTGCTTTTTAATCACTTATATAAATGATTTGAATGTGAACAAAGGAAGTATAGAAGTCATAGAATCCCTACAGTGTGGAAACAGGCCCTTTGGCCCAACAAGTTCACATCGAACTTCAGAGCATCCCATGCAGACCCGTCCCCTTGTAACCCACCTAATCTACACATCCCTGAACACTATGGGCAATTTAGCATGGCCAATCCACCTAACCTGCACATATTTGGACTGTGGGAGGAAACCGGAGCACCCGGAGGAAATCCACACAGACACAGAGAGAATGTGCAAACTCCACACAGACAGTCACCCGAAGCTGGAATCAAACCCGCGTCCCTGGCACTGTGAGGCAGCAGTGCTAACCACTGAGCCACCGTGCCGCCCCCACGGTGGTATGGTTAGTAAGTTTGCAGATGACACAAAAATAGGAGGTGTAGTGGACATGAAGAAGATTATCTCAGAGTAAAAAGGGATCTTGACGAGATGGGCCAACGAGCTGAGGAGTGGCATTTAAATAAATTCGAGATATTGCATATTAGTAGGGCAAATCAGGGCAAGACTTATACACTTAATGGTAGGGTACTGGGGAGTGTCGTCAAACAAGGAGACCTAGGAGTGCAGGTGCACAGTTCCTTGAAAGTGGAGTCACAGGCAGACAGGGTAGTGAAGCAGGCATTTGGTACCCTTGCCTTCATTGGTCAGAACATTGAGTGTAGGAGTTGGGATGCCATGTTGCAGCTGTAGAGAACATTGGTGAGGCCACTTTTAGAATACTGCGTGCAATTCTAGTCACCCTGCTCTAGGAAGGATTTTGTTAAATGTGAGAGGTTGCAGAAAAGATGTACGTTCGCTGACACTGGAAGGTTTGAGCTAAACGGAGAGGTTGAAGTGGCTGGAGACTTCCCTGGAGCATTGGATGCTGAGGGATGCCCTATTAGAGGTTTATAAAATCATGACAGGCATGGATAGGGTGAATAACAAATGTCTGTTTCACAGGGTGGGGGAGGCCAAAACAAGAGGACATTGGTTTAAGGTGAGAGGGGAAAGATTTATGAAGGACCTGAGGGGTAATTTTTCATGCTGAGGGTAGTGTTTGTGTATAAAGCAAGCTGCCAAAGGAAGTGGTGGAGGCGGTTTTAATTACAACATTTAAAAGGCATCTGGATGGGTATATGAATAGGAAAGATTTAGAGGGCTCTGGGCCAAATGCTGGCAAATGGGACCAGATCAGATGGGCATATCTGGTCAGTGTGGACAAGTTGGACCAAAGGGTCTGTTTCCGTGCTATGCAACACTATGACTCTATCCATTACTTATACTGTCAGAGCATTCAAACCCAGAACCAGGTCACTTGCCTCATGATTCACTGAATAAGTCTCACAACATCTTGCTTAGTAGATAATGAGAAGCACACGATCAGGCAATATATCCTCCTGAGCAATGGTAGATACGATGCCATCCAATCTGCCATTCTATAACTTCAAATGGAAAAATTCTGCCCATATCATTTACCGTTTGCTCTGTTGCCTTGTACAGGGTAAAATTTCTTTTGTTTAAAACTATGGAATCTAATAGCTTCAATTCTCTTGAACTGGTATTTCAGATTTTGCCTGCTTTAAACTAAATTTATGGATCCAGTTCTAAATTGCAAGGTGTGATGTATATGCCTGCCTAAATTTGCCTGTACAAGTTAGGATCCAGTTTACTAATATAATAATAATATTTATATAATAACAATAATTTTAATACTAATATTTCATAATAATCCAGTTTTTAAATTAAAAGCTTTTATTTAATATTTCCATTATTCACCTCTCATCTATTTTTCTTTAAGTTTGCTTTTTGTATCTGATTGATCATTGAATGCCATCGTCTAGTTGACACTTTCACAATCAGACTCTGCACTGTTATGAAGAATTCTTCAGTCAAATTGGTTAAGGGAATATGCAATTGCTTTCCCTGTTCACATAGATTCCAGGTACCTATTAGAGGTACTACACTTTTGGCTTTCTAATTTACTGTAGTTTGCTGTGCAAAATCCAAAGTGAAGGAGCAGTTTGTTTACTTTAGCAAAATCTAACTAAATATGTTTCAGTAGAAAGAAATCATTTTTAATTACTTCAAGTACTTAATGCCAATTTATTTTTTCTCTTCTAACTGATTCAATGGGATGGATGAGAGAGGAGAGTGAGATTCCTTGCTGTCGTTCCCAAGATCCAGGCTGGTAAATTCCTTGCTCTTGTGTGTCATTTTAGTTTAAGCTTCATGGAATTGTATCCAAATAAACCTCCTTTTGTCTTAATGAGGATCTTTATTCAAATCATAATACCATGGTCCACTGTGCTGAAATTTGTCAAGCGTGTGATTTAAAATGTCTTACATGGAAGACAGCATTATTAGTAACATTAGTTTGGCTCAAAGGAATAATGAACTGTAAGTTTTAGTTGTAGATCAGTTAACCGCATAGTTTTATTTGGGGGAAGAGATTGTATCCTTATTTTGTCTAGCTCCACTGTAATTAGATGAGGATCATAGGTTTTATTGGGTTAATTTGCACTGTGTGCTTGGTTTTAATGTTCACTCAATGCATTTTTATTTTAGGACATTATTTTAGATAATTTAGCGATTAAATAGAATAAAGAGGGTAATGAAGCATATTCTCTATTGTACCATTTAGTTGGTACATGGTCTACACATGACGCATACATGAATAGGAAGGGAATAGAGGGATACGGATCCTGTAAGTGAAGACAGTTTTAACATGGAAGGGCAAAATGTGTCGATGCAGGCTTGGAGGACTGAAGGGCCTATTCCTGTGTTCTATTATTCTTTGTTCTAGACATCAAAGTCCACAGGTACTTGACCTCTTATGTTTTCATTGATAGTGTCTGTGTGCAGCCATATAGAATGCTTCATGTCTCTTGCTTATTTGATCAATGCTCAAAGCACGTGGGGGCTGCGGGTGAATTTGCACTGACAGTCCCCAAAATGCCTGGATAAATACAATGATGTAAATTATCAATTGGGGAAAAGACGTGCATCGCTCCATCCCATTAGTAGAATTGAGAGAATTGGTGAGGAGCTGCTTCTCCATTCATATATCCTGCTGTAAGCCTGACTAGGAAATGCAGGAAAGAACCAGCCTGTGATTGAAAGAGCAACAATTAGTTGGGAGAGTAAGTGGGTGGCATTGAGGGAGTTACTGGGAGAGTCAAGTATTGCTTTAACCAGGATCAGAGGATTAGGAGCAGTTGACTTTCCAGATCTGGGAGAAGTGTGCTTTTTGCCAGGTTTTGGTGATAAGGGGGCAGCATTTGGGTAGGGGGAGGGGTTGCATTGTGTGAAGGCAGCTGTGTGCCAAAGCCAGTGGGGACTTTTTGCAGGGTCTGGTGTGGTGCCTTTTAGAAGGTGACCTGTTGACAGGGCCAGGGCAGCCTTTCTGCTGAGGTGGCTGTTTGATGAGGTCAGTTGTGGGGATTTTTGCTAGGTTCGGGAGTCTTCCATCTGCTGGTGCAGGGGAGGTGTCTGCTGAGGGTAAGGAGGTAACTACAAGAAGGATAGGGAAGAAGGAGATTCAAAGGGAATAAAGGGGGTGAAAGACATTGCAAGAGGGGTGAGTTGCAGTAAAGGAAGAGGCTCTATTAGTGAGAGGAAAGAAGGAGGCTTCACATAACAAGGTGAGAGAGAAAGGGCTTGAGGAGGGGTGGGAGGATAGATTCTGCAAATGAGAGAAAAACTGTTTTAAACTTGTCAACGAGGAAAATTAATGTGGAATCTCTAATTTAAGGTTGCATAATTTAGAAGCTACAATACAGGGAAATGTAAAGAGAGTGAATAAAGGGTACTAACTGCCTGGTTGAAATATTCCAGCATTGAGCAGATGCAATGTAAACATATAAGCTGTGATCTTACCAGTCTGTGGAAAGTCTGTTTAGGGTGATGGTGTTTTGTCTGTACAAGTGTGTCAGTTATTCTGAAAAAAAAAACTTGTTGGTAACGTACGTGTGTCGAGAAAAGTAATGTTTTTCTTGTGTGTTGCTTTAAGGTTCATGGTGGATTAGCAATTAAAGAGAATATTCATGAATTCTTCTAAGTCTTCGATGAGAGTCCTGCATATCCCACCACAAATATAATAGGTAGGTCTTGCTACAACTTGACCAAATCACTTAATAAATGAGTTCATTGAGAAAAGAAATGAGCTGCTGTAATCCAAGAAGTAGCCCTTGAAAATTAAAATGTTACCCCAAAGAATCTCAAGAGCCCTTGAAAAAAATTATTTTGACTCCTGGTGAGCATCACTAGCAAAGTCAGCATTTATTGCTCATCCCTAACTTCCCTTGAGATGATAGTGATGAACTGCCTTTTTGAATCATCATAATCTATATGTAATGTATAGTGAAGGAATGGTAGTATTTCTAAGTCAGAATGACATATAACTCCAAAGAGAACTAGCAGGCCTTTTGCCCTCGCTCTAAGCAACAAAAGTCATGGATTGGATGGATTTGCCAGAGAAATTTTGACAGTGCTACAGTGTATGCTGTAGATGGTACACAAGGCAACCATAGTGCACCAGCACCAGAGAGAAATAGAAAGTATGATTTACTTTGTTACAACTCTGGAAAATGCATTTGGCAAATTTGTTTGACAGTCAGGATAGAGAATCACCCTGCTCCTAAATTGTCCTAATTTAGAATACTTTCTGGGGTGTGCAGGAGATGCCTGAAAAGCAAAGAAAATAACTTCACCTCGTTTATAGAATCTTTTTAATCTTCAAATGATAGCAATCCTTAAATATCACAATAATTGCTGACCATTCTTTCTAGTACTATGAAATTATAATTGTTCCTTTCCAGTTAGCAAGTTTAGACAGAAAGAGTTTTACGACAGTGCAAATCAAATTTAATCAGGCCATTGTTCAGGTCTTCAACCTTTATGAATGTTAGGAATCAGGATAACACCATGGAGAATAAGCCAGATCAGAACAGAGAAAAACCTTATTTTTTCTGAACCAATTAAGAGTATATAAGTTTCTCTGCACAACGTATGTGGTCAGTGGAAGAATAAATTAATATATGTTGGGAAAACTTACTTTATCCTTTGGTGGATTCAGTAAGATGTCTATAAAACACTGCACAAAAACAAGAAATTTACACCACAGAAACAGGCTTTTTGATCCATCTGGTTTGTACTTGTGCTTATTGGTCCACGTGAGCTGCCTTCTCCCATATTACTTAATTTAGTTATTTTTCATAGCCTCCTATATCTTTCTTCCTCATGTATTTAGTTAATTGTTTGCCCTGGATTGTTTATCAGATTTATTAACTTATATTTATAGTCCCTAGCTTTGGGCTTGTGTTAAGAAGCAACAGTTTCTCCATATCTACTCTATCAAACCCCTTCATAACGTGAAAGGCCCCATCCTTTGTCTTATTCTTTCCACAGGAAAGAGCCTCAGCCTATTCAGTTTTACTGATGGTTATGAACTTTCATTTCTAGAATCATTCTATCATTTTTTTACATGTTGGTGAGCAGTGAGCTCCATATTCAGTACCAAGCCCAAACTAAATTATTAACTGCACTATCACCAGTGCATATGACATGATCTTCATCTATTAGATCATTCTTATTCCAGTTGCAGAGTTTCTGCCACCAAATGTATCTTCCAGTTCAACTTCCAGATCGACACTCAATTGTTTGACGTCATGGATTCATTGATATTATTTCATTTCTGTCTGGGCCACTCTCTCCATATTCTGTAAGTGTCCAACAGGTTTGAGATTTTCTTCTCCTAAGGAAGCTGATATCTCAGCAAGTCCCCAGTAGATCATTGGTTTTGTTCATCTGCTTCTTAGGGGTAGGTCAGATGTTGGTTATCACTGATTGTTGTTGTGGCCGAAGAATGGAAACAAAATACTTGATGCTTACTGTATGGTGGATACTTCTGTTCTGGAATTGAGGCTCACTGGTGGTCCCACAGTAATCCCCTTCTCTATAGTGTGCCACTAGCGGGTGAAGGAAATTTCAATGGTACAATTTAGAGTGGTATTAAAACCATATGGTGCTCTCTATCTTATCCCTACATGATATGGATGGACAACCTTATTCTCTACACTTAACCAGAGAGAGCCCATAAGGAAGGAATCCCTCTGAATCACATATTTGGATACAGGGAAGTCCTTTGCCTCATTGTTACCACCAATTATGCCTGTTTCCTTAAACATTTTGCAATCATGTTGGTTAAACACAAATCAAATTTAAATTTCTATTTGAACCATTGCTTTGCTCGTTGTCATTTAGAAGTCAACAAGCTTGTTCTAGGTAATAGCTGTAATTCATGAATAAATACCAATTGGCTCTGGACAATTATTCTACCAATTCAAAATTTTTTCCTTTTAAATTGAGGTTACAATTTAATTGCTGACTCTGGCGGCTCAGTGCGGTTATGTAGTGAGCCCAATGTGTTCACGTACCCTTAATGAAGATTAGCAGCTTCTCTCATTCAGGCTACAAACACTGAGCAGATTGCCACAAAATGTGAGCTTTCAGTCACATTTGTCACCACCCCAGTGGGAGGAATGTGCTGTTAATCAAGCCCCCCTTTTCCATGAGTTGTCATAAATGTAGAAAAATCTATTTGGACCACCAAGAGATGGTTAATTTGCCTGAATTTGTATGCTATTTATGTCAAAATAAACTCACACCAGTTTTTGTCAATAAACAAACATAGTTCAACAAGTGACAAAAGATTATTATCTGCTACCATGCAAACTTAAACTAAATCCCTTTGAACCTAAACACATGCACATTCAGTTACAAATAGGATGGACAGCTGCAGAATATCAAAGGCCAAAAAGAAAAATTTCTGCGGATCAAAACTCCAAACCTCAAATTGGACCAGGCAATTTTCTCTCAGCTGTTTTGGTTTTTGGTGATGATATCATGTTGTTGGCTATGGAGCGACTGAACATCCTTAATTCGGTAGCCAGTCAGTTGAACCAAGATCTTTGCTTGATTTAGATTTCCTTATTTACACAGTCTGTGACTGTTGTATTTTCACTCAGAAGGTGAGAAAGAGAGATCTGACTTTAAGCACAGGCTTTTTAGAGGTCTGAACTCAACTGTACCTTCTGAGGTCAATGCCAAACTACAACTTAAAAATCCAAAGGCTGTTGTTGAGGTTTTGAACCTAAACACACTCATGTAACCAATAAGTGAACACCATGAAACTCCAAATTTGCCATTTGAGTTGCCAAATAATTTTTTTTTTAGAAAGTTTGGCACATTCTCCAAACACAGAAATGACCAAACTTCCATGTTTTCTAGTTTATGTGGACAACATGCCTCCACCTTGAAGAGATGGTCTAAATGCCTCACAAGGTACACTGATATATATACAATAAAACACAAGAAAATTACATTAACTTGGCCTCACTCATTCTTTATGCAGGATTTATACCATTTCTTGACCTTTTACCCTCTCAAATTTTCAAGCTATTACATTCTTTACTAATACATTCTTGATAATGACTCTGCAATAGCGTGATGTTTCCCAATGATATGGACAATGATTATATTATAAGGTTGAATTAACAAACTCAAATGGAATAATCTCACATTTTAATTTTTACATTTCTACAAAAACAAAGGGATTGTGGTCAGAATGTATAAATGTTTCTTTGTGATTGTGATGGACATAAGCTTTAAGCTTGATAAGTGTGAGGTCATCCATTTTGGTAGGAATAACAGCAAAATGGACTATGTTTCAAATGGTAAAAAATTGCAGCACGCTGCTGTGCAGAGGGACTTGGGTGTCCTTGTGCATGAATCGCTAAAAGTAGGATTGCAGGTGCAGCAGGTAATTAAAAAGGTAAATGGAATTTTGTCTCATTGCCAAAGTGATGGAGTTTAAAAACAGGGAGGCTATGCTGCAGCTGTATAGGGTCTTGGTGAGGCCACACCTGGAGTACTGTTTTCAGTTTTGGTCTCCTTACTTGAGAAGAGATATACTAGCACTGGAGGGGGTGCAGAGGAGTTTCACTCGGTTGATTCCAGAGTTGAGAGGGTTGGATTATGAGGAGAGACTGAGTAGACTGGGATTATACTCATTGGAATTCAGAAGAATGAGGGGAGATCTTATAGAAACATATAAGATTATGAAGGGAATAGATAAGGTGGAGGCAGGGAGGTTGTTTCCACTAGCAGGTAAAACTAGGACTAGAGGGCATCGCCTCAAAATAAAGGGAAGCAGATGTAGGACTGAGGTCAGGAGGAACTTCTTCACCCAAAGGGTTGTGAATTTGTGGAATTCTGTTAATAACCCAGTGAAGAGGTTGAAGCTACCTTGCTGAATGTTTTTAAGGCAAGGCTAGATAAATTTTTGAACAGTAAAGGAATTAAGGGTTATGGTGAGTGGGCGGGTAAGTGGAGCCGAGTCTCAAAAAGATCAGCCATGATCTTATTAAATGGCGGGGCACGCTGGAGGGGTCAGATGGCCTTCTCCTGCTCCTCGTTCTCATGTTCTTATGTTAAAGTATTTATGACACAGTAACAACGCCAGAGTCTTCTGTCCAATTGTAGAGTTCTTCTGCTGACATTGGCTCAATTTCTTACAGAAGTACCATACTGACTTTGCTATTCCTGATTTAGTATCTTATTATAAATCCGCACACACTCTGAAGTCATTAGCATCAATTGTTATTTCAAAATATTTAGTAAAGTCAGGGGCAGCAAACACCAGCTTATCCATTAGAATTAACATCAGCTTCTCTTTTGACCATGTTACTATTGTCTGCTTTTGGAATAAAAATATTAGACATGCAGCTATAGTGCTGAAGTTAGGCATGAATTTCCAGTAAAAAAAACACATATCCCCAGGAGTCTCATTCAGTTTTCGGAATGGGGAATTCCTTCAGAGCATTCATTTTTGCTGTTCTTGGCAACATTTTCCCTTGTCTTGCGATGTGCCCTCAATATGTTAACCTCAATTTTGTGAAGTTGCACAAGATTTATTATTAACTGGAACTGATTAAGCAAGTTTTCTAATTGTCGAAATAAACTACACTAACTATAGGCATGCTAATTAACACTTGATGCATAAGTTTTTGGAATGTAGCTGGGAATTTTAAAACCCAATGGTTTTACTCAATAATGAAACAATCCATTTAGCATGACAAAAACTGATATCTCTTTAGTTCTTGATGTTAATGGTACTTTCCAGTAACCTTTCAATAGTTCAGTCTTAGTAAGGAATGAGGCACTGCCAACCAATCGAGACAATCTTCTGAGTAAGGAATTGGGTATTAATCTGTTTTTATTACTGCATTCACTTTTCTGTAAAAAACAAAGATGAAAGAATTGGAAAATAAATATGCTGTAACCAGTATGTTTCAAACAGGTGACAAGATAAATCTCTGATGCAGAATCTAGTTGGCCCCTCTGATTTTGGAACTAATTCCTCCATGTTTACATCATGCTTGGGTAACCTTGTACACCCTGATGTATCTCTACGGATTTTTTTGAATTTCTTAAGGAACCTTACAGATCGTCCTGTTGTCCTTTCTTTAAGTATGTCTACCTGTCCTCGTATTTCAGTATTGGCTAACCGGACAATAGGAGGTTTGTTTTGTGTACTGTCTGTATCTCAGTTACTTCACTCTTACTGTCTCTGTTAACCTCCACCACTCTTACTACGTCACCTATTTGTTCTTTCTTATCTTCTTCTCTGTGATGATGTTGTTTTAACATGCTTATATGACATAACCTGCAGTCTGGAGTATCAACCAGACAAATTATTTTACTAACCCTCTGAATTAGCTTGTATGGACCAATAAATCTCACTTTCAGAGGTTCATCTTGTAAAGGTCATAACAATAACATGTTGTCTCTTAAACAAGCGAAGCTTGCTTGTTGTAGAATGTTTGTCCATTCTTTCATATTTATCCATGAAGTTTTTAAATGCTCCTTTGCATGCTCCTGTAAGTCTGCCTAGAAACATGGACACATAATATAGCATCAAGGGATTTATCTTTTTGTGTTAAAAGCTTTTCCTTGATCAATTTTAAAGAACGCTTGTCTCATGGACACAGATCAATTCAAATGACTAAGTCCAGCAGATTCATTTGGGGAATTTCTGGTAACAAAGACAAAACATTGCATTCCTTTGTCCCAATTCTGTGGGTATTTGTGACGATACATTTTAATCGTTTAGAGTCTTGACAGTCTGATGGTATCTCTTCAAAACTCTTTGATGTTGTGGATGATATGAGATGGACTAAGTATTTTGTACCCAAATTACTATATCCTGAAAAAAAAAATTAGACAAAAATTTGGAACCTTGGTCTGACTGTATTTCTATTGGTATAGGAACATAGGAACAGAAGTAGGCCATTCAGCCCCTCAAGTCTGTTCCTCCATTCAATGAGATCATGGCTGATCTGTGGCCTAATTCCATATACATATGTTTGGCTCATATCCCTTAATAGATTTGCTGAGCAAAAATTTATCCATCTCAGATTTAAAATTAACAACTGATTCAGCATCCACTCCCATTTGTGGAAGAGAGTTTCAAATCTCTACGATCCTTTGTGTGTAGAAATGCTTCTGAACATCTCTCCTCAAAAGTCAGGCTCTGCTTCTCTTAGTTCTAGAATCCCTAATCAGTGGATATAGTTTATTTTTGTCTACCCTGTCTTTTCCTGTTAATGTCTTGGAGACTTCAATCAGATCACCCCTTAACCTTCTAAATTCTAGAGAAGGCGAGCCTGATTTGTGTAATCTCCTTTTATAACTTCTGAAGTCCCATAACCCTAATCCTATCATTCTTCTAAATCTATGTTTAACTCCCTTCAGGGCCAATGTATCCTTCAAAAGGTGTGATGCCCAGATCTATTCACAATATTTCAAGTGGGGTCTGATGAGGATTTTGTAAAACTGCAGCATAACTTCTGTATCCTTGTACACCAGTCCTTTAGGTATAAAGGGCAGAATTCCACTAGCTTTCTTGATTATTTTATGCACCTGTTTGTGACAAATTAAAGATCTGTGCACCTAAACTCCCAAGTCTCTTGGGTCACCGGACCCGAAAAGTTAACTCTGTTTTTTCCTTCACAGATGCTGCCAGACCTGCTGAGCTTTTCCAGCAACTTTGTTTTTGCTCTTTGAACATCTATTGTTTTTAACTTTATACCACCAAGAAAGTGCTGTGATATATCCTTTAGTCTATTACAAATAAAAAAAATCAAATTAATTTTTCCACCACTACTTCACCTGTAATTTTCCTCAGAAGACTATTTCTGAAATTCATGTTGTCATCAATAACTTGTAAAGATACACAGGTGTCCTGCTTTCAGTTTTGGTAATGGTATCTCATAGACAATAAACATTCTCCTAAATGTTTCTTCAAAAACTGGTGTGGGTATTAAATGTATCAGCTTGATTACATGCTGAGGTTTTCCCACTGGCATGTTTTACAGAACCTGTAAAGATTTGGCCAAATAAAATGCCTGTTTATTGTGCTTAAGTTTTCCATATTCCGAAATGTCCTGTGATAGGAACTGCATGTATTACTTGCAATATCTCCTTACAAAATCTGGGTGGCGCCATTATCTGATGAACAACCATTCACTCCTTGATTCCTCGTTTGTAGGTCTGTGAGAATGTCTCCACTTCCTCATCAGAACTTCATTTTTAACATAACAGCATTCTGGAACTGCTTCAGCCTCTCCTGCAGTGTGGACTGATCTGTTTACTAGGTTTCAATTAAAGCAGACTTACTAAATACTCCTTCTGAATTTCTGAACAAAGAGACTCAATGTCAACATGTCAACATAGATTGACACAGAAACACTAGATTGCCTTCTTTTGTCTTTTCAACAGCATTCCATATTACTGTGGTACTTCCAATGTAATTTCTACTAACCTTTCCCTGGCTCCAAGTTTTTTTTGCCACAAATTCTATACATTCTGGTATTATTTCGAGACTTGTTTTTTCAGTCTCAAGTATTAAATATAACCATCTTTTTATCTTCCTTTTATCGTTCCCTTACTCTTACTTTTACACAAGTATTTTGCTCCAACCCTACTGTATTGTGATTCTTGTTGCTGTCACACAACAGTCCTTGGTCAACACCCTCAGTGACTCTGGTCCATGGGTTGTGTGATGGTTCTAAGCCATCTGGTGGCTCTCAGCTTCCATTCTTATGGGCCTTCCTCACCTCTGGCCCCTGCACCATTGTGACTCTACCTCTTGTCACACAATGGCTCTGATCTACCCTTGTAATTCAGGCTTATTTGTCATGTGATAGGCCTAACCTACCCAGGTAGTTCTTAGCTTGGCGAATTAGCCCTTTGTCTTGTTTCACCCCATTGGCTCCAAGTTTGATCTCACTGGTCTGGCTGCGAGACCAACACCACACCTATGGGTTGTACATAAAGGTCGTCACCCACTTGGTGCATCTGATCATCAGATTCCCCAGCCACCAGTATATTACCATTTGCAGTGCATCAAGTGATGCTCAGCGTGGAGATAGTTAAACCAATAACTTGGTTGCTTGCTCCAAAGATGTTGCCATATGTGCTGAGCTTCTCAAAAACTTTCTTTCTTTATTTCAGATCTCTAGCATTGACAATACTTTTATTAAACTCTTTCTTCCACCAGTATGCATTCAGTGATTTACCTCGAGGGACTGTTCAACAAAAAAAGATTTCTTTACATACTTATAGACCTTATAGTTATTCTTTTTACTTAGGCATGCAACTTGTCCCATGATCATAAACAATACAAGGCAATGACAGTATTGATGACCAGTGCAAATGAAAACAGGTTCCGATTCATAACAATGATCTTTTTGTAATATTAAACAAAGTTTCTAAATTACATATATTATGGTTACTGTAGCTAAATGGTTAATGTCTTAGCTACATCAGGGCAGTTCTGAATTAAGCTTGCAATATGGTTAGTTTTAAACCCTTAAACACCTCAGCCATGTGTCATCTCTACATCACGCTCCCAGCCTGCTGAGCACCCATATGCTTTTCCATATATCGATCTTGTCTAATTGATTTCTGTACCTATGTGTTCCAGATTCCCATGTTTCCATTGTTCCTTTTGTTATTTACCTTCAATCTGTGCCCTCTAATTCTCAATCTTTCCATCATTAGGAACAATATTTCCCGACAGATTATGTCCAGACTTGTCATAATTTTCAGTACTTCTATCAAATCTCTTCTCCACTTTCCCTTCTCCAACGAAATCAGTCTCAACTTCTACATTCTATCCATGAAACTGAAGTTTCTCATCTGTGGAACCTTTCTCCATTTAAACTTTGTTGAGGCATTTATTTGTGAAACTTGGAAATTACAATGAATACGTGCAGAACTGGTTGACAGTAGAATTCGCTTTGCACACTAGATTAGACACCAGGAAAGACAAATGAGGATCCCCAGACAACAAGGTGCATGGCTGGATGAACACAGCAGGCCAAGCAGCATCATAGGAGCAGAGAGGCTGACGTTTCGGGCCTAGACCCTTCATCAGAAAAGGGGGAGGGGAAGGGGGTTTTGAAATAAATAGGGAGAGAGTGGGAGGCGGATAGAAGAGGGATAGAGGAGAGGATAGGTGGAGAGGAAACAAACAGGTCGAAGAGGCGGGGATGGGGCCAGGAAAGGTGAGTGTAGGTAGGGAGTTAGGAAGGGGATAGGTCAGTCCAGGGAGGACGGACAGGTCAAGGGGGCGGGATGAGGTTGGTCGGTAGGAGATGGAGGTGCGGCTTGAGGTGGGAGGAGGGGATAGGTGGGAGGAAGAACAGGTTAGGGAGGCAGGGACGAGTTGGACTGGTTTTGGGATGCGGTGGGGGGAGGGGAGATTTTGAAACTTGTGAAATCCACATTGATACCATTGGGCTGCAGGGTTCCCCAGGATCCCCACTTCTGTTTCCTATCCAGCAGCCTATGCCTCGTCACGTTGAGGTTAATTTGGCAGCGTTCAGATTGTCTCAATAGCGGACACTTATTGTTCTACTTTCTATGCGATGAGTGGGAAATGTGTGAAAGTGCAGCAGCTTGCGAGAGCCAATAAAATTGGGAGAATGCACTTCATTACTTGTGGTCAGCATTAGGAACGGCCAAGTGTTGCATTTTTTTTTGCACAATATGTAGTGCAACATATAAATGATTTTTTCATGCACAACATAGCTCTGTCTAGGTGTTTTGCATGGTTTGCCTATTGATAAAGGAACCTGTAGACTGGTAGCAACTGTGTAAATAATACAATACAAAGTTTTGTGTTGTCCTATATAATAGGAATGGTAACTTCAAACAGTCCTTTTGGCCACCCTACAAATTCTCCAGCAAGTCCCAACCCCTACCAACCGCTGCTGCCAACACCAAGGACAACATCACTTCTGCTGACATTGCTCCACCCACCGCCCCACAGCCACCAGCTCTATAGCCAACCCCAGCCTCAAACTCTGCTGGGTCTCCACCATCCCCCCAGACCACCCCCTCACTGAGAATGAACAGTCAGTCCTCAGTAAAGGACTCACCTTTATCCCCCTCCACCCTAACATCAATGAATACTGCTCACGCCTGGATGTCAAACAGTTTTTCCGCCTCTTCCCCACACAACGTGCAGCCCTCTGCTCCAACCCTAACCTCACTATAAAACCCACGGATAAGGGAGGTGCAGTAGTGGTATGGCGCACTGGCCAGGCGCCAACTCTCTGACATCTCCTCCTACCACCCCGACCACCAAATCATCTTCTCTCAGACCATCCATAACCTCATCACCTCAGGTGACCTCCCACCCACAGCTTCCAACCTCATCATTCCCCAACCCCGCACCACCCACTTCTATCTCCTTCCCAAAATCCACAAACCCGACTGCCCCGGCCGATCCATTGTCTCCGCCTGGTCCTGCCCTACTGAACTTATCTCTGCTTACCTCGACTCTATTTTCTTCCCCCGGTCCAGGAACTCCCCACCTATGTCCGGGACACCACCCATGTTCTCCACCTCCTCCAAGACTACCAATTCCAAGACTTCCAATTCCCTGGCCCCCAAGACCTCATCTTCACTGTGGACATCCAATCCCTGTACACTCGCATTCCCCACGCAGATGGCCTAAAGGTCCTCTGCTTCTTCCTCTCCCGCAGGCCCAACCAGCCTCCCTCCACTGACACCCTCATCTGCTTAAACAAACTCGTCCTTACCCTTAACAACTTTTCCTTCAACTCCTCCCACTTCCTACAGACTAAGGGGGTGGCTGTGGGAACCCACATGGGCCCAAGCTATGCCTGCCTCTTCGTAGGATACGTGGAACAGTCCCTTTTCCCCTGCTACGTGGGCACTATCCCCCACCTTTTCCTCCGCTACATCGATGACTGTATCAGCGCGGCCTCGTGCTCCCACGAGGAGTTTGAACAGTTCATCAACTTTACTAACATCTTTCACCCCAACCTCAAGTTCACCTGGAGCATCACCGATACCTCCCTCTCCTTCCTGGACCTCTCCGTCTCCATCTCTGGTGACCACCTTGAAACCGATATCTATTTTAAGCCCACCGACTCCCACAGCTACCTAGACTACACCTCCTCTCACCCATCTTCCTGCAAAAATGTGATCCCCTACTCCCAATTCCTTCACATCTGCTCTCAAGATGAGGCATTCCACTCCCGAACATCCCAGATGTCCTCATATTTCAAGGACCGCAACTTTCCCCCTTCGGTGGACGAAAATGCTCTCGACCACATCTCTCATGTTTCCGACACCTCTGCCCTCACGGCACCTCCCCCCAACAAAAACAAAGACAGAATCTCCCTTGTCTTCACATATCGCCCCACTAACCTCCGGATTCAACGTATCATTCTCCGCCACTTCCACCACCTACAATCTGACCCCACAACCAAAGATATATTTTCCTCCCCACCCCTATCTGCCTTCCGTAGGGACCGCTGTCTCAGTGACTTCCTCATCCACTCCACACTGCCCACTAGCACAACCACCCCCCGGCACCTTTCCCTGCAACCAAAGTGCTACACCCGCCCGTACACCTCCCCCCTCGCCTCCATCCAAAGCCCCAAAAAACCTTCCACATCAGACAGATGTTCACCTGCACATCCGCTAATGTGGTCTATTGTGTCCGCTGTTTCCGATGTGGCCTCCTCTACATCGGTGAGACCGCTTTGTAGAGCACCTGCACTTGGTTCGCGACAAACAACACCTTCCAGTCGCGAACCACTTCAACTCCCCCTCCCACTCACTGGACGACATGTCCATCCTGGGCCTCCTCCAGTGTCACAACAACGCCACCCGAAAACTGGAGGAGCAGCACCTCATATTCCACCTTGGGAGCCTATAACCCAATGGTCTCAACGTGGTCTTTACTAGTTTCAAAATCTCCTCATCCCATGACCAACCCGCCCTCTCGTCCCCACCTCCTTGACCTGTCCGTCTTCTCTCCCATCTATCTGCTCCTCCCACCTCACTGACCAATCCCCACCACTGCCTACCTGCAGTCGTCTATCGCCATCCCACCTACCTTCCCCAGCCCCACCCCTCCTCTCTCTATTTATTTCAGAGCTCTCTTCCCCCTCCCCCATTTCTGAAGAAGGGTCCCGACCCGAAATGTTAGCTTTCCTACTCCTCTGAAGCTGCCTGGCCTGCTGTGTTCCTCCAGCTCCACACTGCGTTACCTCTGACTCTAGCATCGGCAGTTCCTACTATTTCAAGCATTGCATGGTGTTTACCTTTGTTTAACTTGATAGCTTCTATATAGAATTGCCCCTTCAAAGTCAGGTAACCCTGTTTGGAAAAGCAATAGAAAGAAAAATCACATTAATTTCCCATAGGTCAACATTTATCTTCCATTAGATATAATGATTGTGAAAGAATATATATTCATGAATTTAATTGCATTGCTTATTTTCAATGGATTGCAGCAGCAGATTTTTTAAAGAATATAAATAATACCTTAAAATATTCTACAAAAGTCCCAAAGAACTGCGGATGCTGGAAATTAGAAACAAAAGCAGAAATTGCTGGAAAAACGCAGCAGGTCTGGAAGCATCTGTGGAGAGAAAGCAGAGTTAATGTTTCAGGTCCCATGACCCTTCTTCAGAACAGACCTTAAAATACTCTCCTGGTTCAGGAATTTAAAATATTTAACACTGTAGTTGTTATGCCTGTCTCTTCATGGGGTACGTGGAACATTCCTTGTTCCAGTCCTATTCCGGCCCCCACCCACAACTCTTCCTCTGATACATCGATGATATCATCGGTGCTGCTTCCCTCTCTCATCTGGAATTGGAGAACTTCATCAATTTTGCCTCCAATTTCCACCCTGCCCTCACTTTCATCGGGTCTATCTCTGACTCCTCCCCTCCCTTCCTTGACATTTCTGTTTCCATTTCTGGGGACAGGCTGGCCACTAATATCCATTACAAACCCACTGACCCCTACAGCTACCTGGACTATACATCCTCACACCCCACTTCCTGTAAAGACTCCATCCCATTCTCTCAGTTCCTCTGTCTCCGTCGCATATGTTCAGATGAGGCCAACTTCGACAAGGGAGCCTCTGAAATGTCCACCTTCTTTCTCAACCAAGGATTCCCCAGCCCCGTTGTCGACAGGGCCCTCAACCAGGTCCGACCCGTCTCCCGCACTTCTGCCCTCACCCGTTCTCTTCCCTCCCGCAACAGCGACAGGGTTCCCCTTATTCTCACCTACCATCCCACCAGCATCCACATCCAGAAGATCATCAGACGCCATTCCTGCCACCTCCAGCAACATGCCACCACCAGACACATATTCCCCTCCCCTCCCTTGTCTGCCTTCCGCAGGGACCGTTTCCTCTGGGACACCCTGGTCCACACATCCTTCACCCCCAACACCTCCCCACAGCCCTACGGCACCCTCCCCTGTAACCGGCGAAGGTGCAACACCTGCCCATTTACCTCCTCCCTCCCCACTATCCAAGGGCCCAAACATACCTTCCAGGTGAAGCAACACTTCACCTGCACTTCCCAGAATCTAGTTGACTGCATTCGCTGCTGACAATGTGGTCTCCTCTATGTTGGGGAAACGAAGCGTAGACTTGGCGACCGCTTCGCAGAACGTCTACGTTCTGCTCGCAAAAAAGACCCTGAACTACCTGTTGCCTGCCACTTCAACGCACCACCCTGCTCCATGGCCAACATCTCTGTCTCTGGCTTGCTGCAATGTTCCAGCGAAGCCCAACTCAAGCTGGAGGAACAACACCTCATTTTCCGTTTGGGGACCCTACAGCCCTCCGCACTCAATATTGAGTTCAATAATTTTAGGGCCTAAACTTTCCCATGTCCCAGCCCCCCACCCCACACACCAGTCCTTGTTACCACATAGCCTGCCACTACACACCCCCTGTTGTTAGTCACTAACAGTCCCCATTAACAACCATTCACCCTCCCAGCCTGATCGTTAGCAACTCCTTTGTCTGTCCAACTGTCTTTCTCTCTCTTTGGGCTCTATCCTATCGTTTACTCCCTACCCCACCCACCTCCCTATTTTCTGCATATAAACTGACATTTTCCCAACCACCACCAGTTCTGAGGAAGGGTCACCGGACCCGAAACGTTAACTCTGTCTTTTTCTTCACAGATGCTGCCAGACCTGCTGAGCTTTTCCAGCAACTTTGTTTTTGTTCCTGATTTACAGCATCAACAGTTCTTTCGGTTTTTGTTGTAGCTGTTAGGCAATGTTGTTTTCCCCAAATGGAGCAAATCAGTATTGATTCTCACTATATAAATACCTGCATTAGTACATTTCTATTTAGCTAATTTTGGTTCCAGATTCAGCAGCATATGTTTAATCGTAAATTTCATGCTCAGCTCGTTTCTGTATTGGTGACTGAGTTTGTAGGCAAAAACTACAATTCTCAAGCACAAAGTTAACTCAAATTCCTGATTTGATTGAAGAATTGCTTAGTACATACCTGTAATTACATGCCGAATGTACATTTTGACAGGAAACTGATATGTTATCAATTTATAATATTATTAACTGAGTTGTAAGCAGTTTTAGTTACAATTGAGTTTGACCTTGATGTCTCAGAATCATCAACAATTGCAAGACTCTAAGTTTTTGTGATTGGACCCTGTATATGTGCAGACTGTCTTTGTAACAGCTCAGATAACATTTTAGCATATTTGTTGAAGTGTGGACTTCGTCTCTCCTGTGATTCAGTGAGTGATTGACCCCCGTCCTCCTGGTCACTTTGAGGTTGTATTTTTCTTTGGAAGAACAATCTTAAGTTTTTTTTTCAATTCAGTTGTGCAGATGACTTCATGTCATCTTGGAGATGAAAGCGAGTGGCACAGCTGTTAGTGCTAATGCAGGTGGGGAGTTGTCCTGAGTGAGTGAGCAGGCAGCGGTGAGGTGATGTGGTGGAAGGTATTGGGATGGATGAGAATGAATGGGGGATGATTTTGCAGGCAATAGAGTGGCACAGGCCTTGGCCTGAGGTGGGTGTAGTCATATATTGAGTGTTCAGTGGCAATGAGAAGATGGTGGATCTTATTTCTTCAGGTCAAGCTATACTGCTGGGCATTTCTCCAGAAAACTGATGCTACAGTCATCTAGGCAGCGAGATCAGACCAGGATCTTGCTGGCAGGATCTGGTGTCACGGCCTATTCTGCCAGTCCTGGGGCAATAGTTTCACTCTGTTCACCAGGACCTCTAGGTGCCTGTCTGCACAGTGAGGCCCAAAATCCCTATCTGCCATAGCAGGTACAAAAATTACAAACTGGGCAGGGCAACTCAGCACTGAAACTGATTGACCGAATGCACAACAACCTTTTAAAAATGGTGCCGCTGCCAGGGATACCCGGTCCATTCTGCATAACCCAGGAGAAATGACTTCTCCTGGTTACAGTGAGTAGGAAAATTGGGCTAGCTGTTAGGCTTTGTACTGATAGCATCCTCTGAGTCACTACCACTTTGTGTCTGACTTCTACGCATATCTCTTATTGACAAAGTCCCTGGCTCAAGCACAGAATCGGTGGCAGTGATGAAAGGCAATCACCGTGAACCCTTATCTGCTTCCTTGACATTTTCCACATTTTCTTGTTCAACATTCCTCGTTCATGCTCTTTTTTGAGTCTTCTGCTAGTGTTTAGAGTTGGCATTTCACTCTGCTTAGCTTCACCTGGCTCACAATTTGTATCCTTGTGCTCCTCCAGTTTCTTCCACTGTGTTTGAGACAATTATATTCAATACTGACTGTTCAGCATGATTCCCTTAACCTGGATCACTGGCTGGCAATATGTTGTGTTTATGTTCCTTTGACAAATATGATTTTGGAGTTCTTTCACTCTTTTCAATTCTGCATCTGCAGATTTAATATACTGTTTGTCAGAGAGCTCTCCTTTTCTGTTATCTCCCAGATTCCACTCAAGCACCTCCTCCTTGTAAGAACCTTTTTCAAGAGACAGCTAAGTTCATCCAAAAGCCAGATTGCAGTGATTTCTGTGTAACACTGTCACCTGGTAATATCCATTAAAGGCTGGCTATTTTCAGAGTGGAATGATAATAACTCTCTGATGAAGTTAGAAATCTCTTGAATTTCTATGGTTGATGCCACTATTGGAGCCATTCTTCCACCCAGTTGGTTGGCTTAGACCCTCTTCCATTTCTTGGCTGTACCTGTAAATGGAGTGCATCGTAAGGTACTAATATGAGGTTGCATTTTTATCTCCTTGTCCAGCTGTACCTCTCATACACAGAATTCACAGAAACTGCAATAGTCTGCCTCCTTTTCCTCACCAATTATAGGCAAATATCTGGGGAATTGTTCTCCAAATAGATGTGCAAGTGACCCCCGAATCAGTAACAGCATTCGTTACTGACCTACCCAAATTTTTCAGTTACTCAAGTCTTAGTGTAAGAATTACAGTGACACTCAGATTTTAATACCGGCAAGGGTGCTGACCGTCATAGCATGCTTATGCATTACTCAGTTCAGGCCCTGTTGTGTGCGTCAGGTTGGCTTGCCTGAACTCGTCATACATTGAGGAATTAAAACAATCTGCTTAAAACAGACCACATCACTAGTGCTTCATCTCATTGGGCTCTTTCTCTGTGATTGTTTTTTTTTGGATGTCTTTATCATTACCATCTCAACTTTTGCTGCCATATTATGATCCTAGCTGATGTCATTCATTAAGTCAGATCCCATTCAGAGAGCCCATATTTTGTGTTTTTTTCACTTTTAGTAATGTGGTCTTTCGCTGAAACACAAATATGCAATGCTGCAGGTTCAGGTTTAACAACAGAACTGAATTTTATTGCACATTAGAAAAGGTGATGAAATAGAATAATCAAACTATTAACATATAATGCATTTAAATATTTCAAAACACAGGAAAATACAATCCCATTAATCAGAACAACACTCCTTTACAGTCTTCACACTTGAGAGAATTTCCTAGTCTTTCACCTCTACAATGCTTAATTTAACTGTGGCTTCAAAACCCTATCTTCAGAATCTGATAGTCTGTTCCTGGAGCCTTCATACAAAATCAGCTTGGACTTTCACAGCTTCACATGTCCCCTTCAAGGTTTTATCCAAATTCTTCTGGTCTAGAATTTTTAAACTAAACTCTCTACATCAAGATAGCCTCTTTCTTAACAATCCTAAAACAACTTCCTTTTCTCAGGAGCAACAATTTACACATTTAGCTTCAGTCAATACTTCTGCAAACTGCCTGAAATTGAAACTAAAAAGATTTTTTTTTTTACAATTTACAGATGTTTCCCAAAAAATTCCATAATCTTCTATCTGAAAGCCTAATGCACCACACTGTCTACTTCTTCACTCAAACTGGCCCAATGTAAACAAAACCTCATTTCTAGGAAGTCTCATCTCTAGGAAGTACTGTGGTTTAAAAGAAATCACCATGGCTACAGAGATACTTACAAGTTAATCATTAAACCCCTTCAGCCACTTTGGGTGGGATCTTACAGGAGTCTGAGTAATGTGGGCTATAGTGAGGATTGGATGAGAAGCCTGACAAGGCTGACCTTGATGTAGGAGCATCTTGTCCCATCGGTTATATTTTTCACATGGTGTTAGGACTGCCCATGACTGAGCAACACAAAATGGTTGACGGCTGCCCATGGCTAATGCAGCAGAACATAGCTGATGGTACTTTGAGACCTTGGGAAAATATTTGTGTAGTGTAGTCTTCACAAGAAGAACAATTTTAAATTTGGACAGATTTACATTGAGATATGTCAAATATCTCGAATGAGTTCTTAATTTTAAAAAAATGTGGGTCATCTTAGAGAAAACATGACCAAAGTATGTTTTGCCTGAATCCAGTAGAAATGTTTGATCTGTTTTAAAATATTATAAGATGATGATCAATGGAGTATAAATCTCTCCAGAGCTCTGGAATTAGATAGGTGTTAATAGTTAAATTGGAAAATTGGATGAGATGAAGTAATTAGGGATGGAGAGTATTGGCAGAAGAAAAACAAATTAGAATAATGGGTTGAAATGGCAATCGAAGTCAACACGCATTTTAGTGAAAAGGAAGTTTAGATGATAGTACTAAACTGATAGGTTTCTCCTGGTGATGTTTGTGTCCTTCCCTCTCCTTTTAAGAAAACTGAACTTGGTGATCGAGCCATTACCCAAGGCATCGGGACTATACATGGAGATAAGTAAAATCTCATAGGTCTTTTGCTAAGATCATACGAGAGTCAAGAATGTGTGACATGGTCTTGGAATACTGATGTAAGTGTGCAAAAGTGATTGTTACTGCAGAAGTAACAAACATGAGAGAATGCATAGTAAAAAAAATGCACTGAAGAACGGGTCTCAGATATGTACACCTACTTGACAAAAGAATTAGTGTGGCTTGGAAGAACATGAAAACATAGTTTAAATGATATGACACTGATGCATAATCCATAGAGAAACTGACTTTAAAACAATGATAGTGAACTGGAGTGAAAGGGACCAAAATGATGACATACAGATACCTCGGAAAAAGAGAGGGGAAGCACAAACTGAAGCTAAAGCCTGATGAACGCACTGTAATTTGTTGGATGCCATGGACATTGCAGCTCAGAGGGGGTTCTTGCATATGGATGTAGTTACCACTCAATGACACAATCATTCCCAAAATTAGCAAAGAAGGAAAAATATTGAAGAAGTATCCTCAAAATAGATACAGATGAAGAAAACCGGGGAGTTTTGAGACCATGTATGATGCTAATGCGCAAGCAGTGACTGAACTTGAAGCTTGATAAGAACTATAATGTTTGATCCAAAATGTATAAGTTTACTGTATTACTAACTGTGTGTATTTTGAGTGTTTGGTTACTAGTAACTTGCCAATCCCCTGCACCAGAATGTAGACAAAGGAAAAGAGAATTATGTGTAAACACCTTTTTATATATGTCCTATATCTATACCAGTTTTAGGGGTGCTCCCACATACCCATCCACTCAAAAGAGGGCATCCCCTTAAGACCCATCCCTTTTCATACATTCAAAACAGCAGAATGGGTAATTTGCCAGAACATCTCCTTAGAAGATCTGGCAAGACTGTCATGGCAGTCCACAGCAGCGACAGGGGTATATTGGGTAGGCATGACTGACCCCCAAGAGCAGTGGGAATCAGTGGGTTCTAAAAAGGATGGTGCTTGTGACCTAATCTGGGCCGACTGCTGTACTTCTATCCAAGACAACTCCGAAGCAACCTCCAATTTAGCAGCACATATCTGAAAACAGATGGACAAACTAAAACAACTCCCGTCGCCCACTTGGGCAATTGGCTGGCTGGGTTCACTGGGGACATCACTGATGTGGGATGTAGTGTTATTCATTGTAGTAATTCTCATTTTATATTGTTTGTTTTTGTTAGTTAAATGTTGCTGCCAGCAGGTGGCCTCAGCTGCTTCTCTGCAGGTGAGACACTTTGGCATTTGTGGCAGACCTTTTCTGCACTGCAGATCCAATTTTCCATTGCATGCTTTGTGATGTACTTTAGGGAGGTTCAAAGATGGGGGTGATTATTAGGGATGCCCATGACTAAGCAGCACAAATTGGCCAATGGCCACCCATGGCTAATACGGTAAACCATAGCTGACAGTAGTTAGAGATCTTGAGAAAATCTTGCTTAATGTAGTCTTCACAAGTAGAACAATAGTTCTGTAGATGCAAGGTTACTGGACTGGGATAGAATGTGCAGCTGCAGTTGCTTACGCAAAAGACAGATAAGAACATTTCACACTAATTAGTTGACAATATTAAGAGTAGATTTTAGTTAAGATCCTTCACATAATCATATGGATACCAAAGCAGTTGGGATCCACCTATATACAAAAAAAAATCCCTAAAAACATTAGAGGAAATGTTTCAAACCAGTTTCAGACAGTAAAAGCAGCCCCCCAAATCATTATAAGGAGGAATGAATCATCAGTACAGAAATTAGCAGACATTGGAATGTGGGTTGAATGAACACATTAAGACATAACTTGTTAACTAAAGAATTCTAACATGAGGTGTAACCACAATTTTGTTGGAACTGATGAAAAATCAATATTCTTTTATGTTTTCTGAAATGAGGAATTTAAAAGGTCCTGAAGTGATAGGCAAGTATCTAATTAATTGGCAGTTAACTTAAGCTGGCAAACATTACTTGAATACAGCATCCATTGTGAAAAGCTTCTAGAAGGGAGATAGGAGTGTCTGGGAAACATCTCTATGTTGTGCAGTGGTATGATTAGTTTAATTGGAAATAAATTGAAATTGCTGAGGCAAACTTGAACTGTGTAAAATTCTGTACCAGAGAGCCAATTACAAAGGGGTAACTCAGTGCCGTTGACCAATAGTAATCAAAGGCAGGGCATATACACTCTCAGTTTAGACTGTATAAGTTAAGACATTCTGAAGCTTTTTGTGTACATCATTGTTCTGGAGAAATTAAGCTGTACTGAAAAATGAAGCTGCAATAATGATCTCCTGACACCACCCCACAAACCGGACTCTCATTGGAAAATATGAGATCTAACAACTTTGCGTGGCAAGGTTCTTGTCAGACAGTGGCAACCTGCCAATTAGGAAGGATTATTGCTTGTTAACTGCCTTGTTGAAGGCCCAACATTTCTACCTTGGTCCTGCTGCAGTGCTCCAGTGAGGTTCAGTGCGAATCTGAAGAACATCTTTTCTTCTGCTTGGTGACCTTGCAACCTTCAAGACTAAATATTGATTTCAATAATTCAATTTTCAATATCGATCACCTCCTTATATGTCCTTTACCCATGCCACACCCCAGGTCCTGTCATGATATGGGCTGCTTTCAGCACAGCCAGTCCATTATCAGTTTTTCTCCTTCCCTGGCCATCAATCATCCTTTAATAAAAGCCGAAAGAACTGCGGACGCTGTAAATCATAGACAAAAACAAAAGTTGCTGAGAAAGCTCAGCCGGTCTGGCAGCATCTGTGAAAGGAAATCAGAGTTAATGTTTCGGGTCCAGTGACCCTTCCTCAGAACTGGGGAAGTTCGGAGCAGTTCTCAGGAGGGGTCACCGGACCCGAAAGATTAACACTGATTTCTCTTCACAAATGCTGCCAGACCTGCTGGTCTTTTCCAGCAACTTCTGTTTTTATATCAATCATTCTTTGTCTGCCTAACTTCCTTTCTCTCTCGCTGGGCTCTGTTTCCACCTATACAATAATTCCTTTGCCCCCGCCTTCTATATTCAGCATAAATACCACCTTTTCCGTCAGTTCTGAAGAAGCGTCACTGATATCGAAATGTTAACTCTGCTTTTTCTTCACAGATGTTGCTGGACCTGGTGCATTTCTCCAGCAATTTGTCTTTGTTTCAGATTTCCAGCACCTGCGGTTCCGCACCTCCTCCGATGCTGGACATCAACTGACAAATTCCTCGCTCTGATTCAACCAATGGGGCCCTGGCTTGTCTTCCGATGCTGCCACCTCAGACAGAACAGGGATGGAGATAAACAGGGCTCCGGCATCCCACAGGAGGACATCGGGAAGAGGCCCCAGGGCAACAAAAAGAAATAAAAAGTGACTGAGCTACCAAGCTGCAAAGACAATGAGGAAGCCATGTGGATGCGACCTGACCTACCACATGAGCTCATGACTGGCTGAGCCCTGTGCTCAGGAGCTGAATTGCCAATCCCACAGCCATCTTGGTATACTGTATCACAGGCAATCGTGAGAGTGGTAGAGTTTAAGTCTTGAGTGGGAGGTGAGTACAGTCACGGAGATAGTGTATGAGAGGCATCAGAAGGAATATGCAGTACTTAAGCTAACAAAGTAGTCATTGGTCTTCTTCCAACATTCCTTCAGTCAGCTGAGACTGTACTGAGCTGGGTGGGATCCTCAGATCAGGCTGTCATAATCTGGTGTCATGGCCTGCTCTGCTAGTCCTGAAGGAAGAGAAAGTCATGCTGCTTCACCAACCCAACCAGCAGGACCTCCAGATGTCTGTCTGCAGAACAGGCATTGATTTGTCCCCTGTCGGTCATATCCAGGGCAAAGGTCAGGTAGCTCTGGACTGACTTGTCTGTGTACACAATGGCCTTTTAAAGATGGCGCAAGAGATACCAGCTGGTGTATGCTGGCATATCCACTGAATGTCAAGTTGTTCTGGGGGTGGCACGTGTTAAGGGAATGCACGAGTAGATCACTTGGTCCCTTGACCTTGGTCCACCATTCAGTAAGATCATGGCTGGTCTGATTGCAACTCAAATCCACATTTTCATCTTCCCCTAATAACCTTTCACCACTTTGCTTATAAAATTGATAGAGCTTAAAAATATTCAAAGATTCCGCTTTCATCATCTTTTCAAGATGAGAGTTCCAAAGAGCATCAACACTGAAAAAAATTCTCATTTCTATCTTAAATATGCAACCCCTTAATTTTAAATAGTGACCCCTTGTTCCAGATTTCCCCACAAGATGAAATATCTTTTCTGCATCCATGCTGTGAAGACAGGATCCATTTCTGAGGAAGGGTCATTCAACCCAAAACGTTAAGTCTGATTTCCCTCCACAGATGCTGTCAGACCTGCTGAGCTTTTCTAACAATTTCTATTTTGCTTCTGATTTACAGCAACTAAAGTTTTCTTTTCAATTTTTACTTGAGACAGGATGTTTCAACAGGGTGTGGCTAGTTTAAAAAGTTGTATCAACTAAATATTTACTAAATGCGTTGAATCGATTGCAAAACTCTCAATTCTGAATCAGAAGGCTGTAAATTTCTATTTCAGAACATATGATACAAGCTGAACTTTGGTGCCATATTGGAAGATTGCTACTTTGCGTGAGATGACATGTTTTGGATAAAACCTTAAACATATTTACCTTTTCAGTTGGACAAGTATCCCATGGTACCCAAAATAAAGATAGAGGTACCTTGCCACTATCTTTCTTTTGACCACCATTGTTAGTCATTTATCTTATTATTATTTGTGTGCTGATGGGTTTGTCTAATTAACAAAGTGAATGCAATCAAAATATGATCATTTAATTGTTCTGATGGCTTGAATGGTGCAAGTAAATGTTTCCTTTTCTTTACTTGATTAGACTACAATCAAGTACATGCAACAGCAAATGAGACAACGTCACTATGACGATGGTTGTGAAAAAACACTGAAAGAAATAACAGAACAAATGACATTAAGTGAAGCAAAATAATTTGAAATAGTAAATGTGTGTTTTCTTTGATGTAACTGCAGAGCAAGAAACTTGTATCAATATCCTTATTGATGAACCTGTTCTGAATAAGATCAAAAGCTACAGTAAACATCAAGGCAATTCAAATAGGGAAACCTTGAGGTAAGTTTTCAACTTGGTCACCTATATGTTCACCTGACTGAGCAGATTAGTCTGATCAACTCTCATCCCATTTGGATGAAATGGATTGAACATATGGCACTTTCTGCAATAACAGGCATCCCATATTCGAGGTGAAATTTTCTATGGAGGTAACAGGTAGCCACTCAGCATAAAATTCAGAGGAAAGCCCAAGAAGAGTGAGCGCAAGACCTTTAATTAACTCAGGCTAGTCTTCCAAATTCCTTGTCAGTCAAGATATTCCAAACTGGAAAGCAGATGGTCACATGGCCACTGCGAGGAGTGCATCCAGATTCCAACAATAATGAATAAAGGCAAAATACCGCTGTTCTGAAGCTCTGAAGAAGAGACATACCAGACTCAAAATATTAACCATTTCTCTCTCCACAGATGCTGACTGACCTGCATTCTGTGCATGTCCTAACAACAATTGTTGGTGCAGCCAGAAACACTGGTAAGGGGGAGGATTTTGCATGGTCCTGGTAGGGCACAGTGTGCCCAAACACAATGGACACAAATCCTCAAAAATAATGGCACCGTTATAAACCCAGCCCCTGTTCAAATACACACACTGGTGGGTAAGTGGTCAGTAATTCACTTACTCAAGGCTTCATTAGCTCAAGGACTGTCGGCCATTGGATATCTCTCCTGGCACTGGTAAATTACAAGTTCCCATTCCTCCCTACCATATGCTTTCCCTTTCTAGCCCAGCCATCAGTCCAATACTTTCTGCAATTCATCCGCTCTCCTGTCTTCATCTGTCCCTTCCCCCGCCTTCAGTCACCACCCCCACCCATCCTCCTCTCCCCACCTATCCTCAAGCTTTTCTGTCAGCCGTCCCCTCGCTCTCTGTCCGCACTCCATCATCCAATGCCCCCTCCCACGGCACCTTACCCCATTTACCATCCCCTTACTCCCCTCCCCATTCTGGACCGTCTCTAATAACACAGTGTGGAGCTGGATGAACACAGCAGGCCAGGCGGTATCAGAGGAACAGGAAAGCTGATGTTTCGGGTCGGGACCCTAATTCAGAAATCAGCTTTCCTGATACCGCCCGGCCTGCTGTGTTCCTCCAGCTCCACACGGTGTTATCTCTGACTCCAGTGCCGGCAGTTCTTACCATCTCTCACCGTTTCCAGGGGCAGGGTTTGGGGGAATCACGTGACTGAGATGATGTGAGCGGCTGTTGGCGATGGCGGAGACGGACGCGCTGTTACCCGGGGAGGCTGAGGGCGAGCGAAGCCGGCAGTCGGATGACGGGCCAAGCCCGGGCTGTGCCTCGGCCTTGTGTGACCCCCGGCGGCGGCTGCACCGCTTTGTGGTCCTGGTCATCATGTGTTTCCTGGGTTTCGGTGAGTCTCCGATCGAACCGGTGTTTCTCTGGGCCTGGGCCTGGGCCTGGCTTGCTGCAGCTACCCCGGGGACACGGGAGCAGTTTGACCCGGGCCAGCATTAGGTGTAAACAGGAACAAAGTTGCTGGAAAAGCTCAGCAGGTCTGGCAGCATTTGTGGAGGAGAAAACAGAGTTAACGTTTCGGGTCCGGTGACCCTTCGTCAGAACTGATAGTGGCTGGGAAAACGTCAGTTTATATGCAGAAAATAGGGAGGTGGGTGGGGTAGTGAGTAAATGATAAGATAGAGCCCAAAGAGAGAGAAAGTACCGCCTGCTTCTATCTCCTTCCCAAAATCCACAAACCTGAATGCCCTGGTCGACCCATTGTCTCCGCCTGCTCCTGCCCCACCAAACTTATCTCCAACTATCTGGACTCCATTTTCTCCCCCTTGGTCCAGGAACTCCCTACCTATGTCCATGACACCACCCACGCCCTCCAGCTCCTCCAGAACTTCCAATTCCCCGGTCCCCAACACCTCATCTTTACCATGGACGTCCAGTCCCTATACACCTGCATTCCCCATACAGACGGCCTAAAGGCCCTCCGCTTCTTCCTGTCCCGCAGGCCCGACCAGTCCCCCTCCACTGACACCCTCATCCGCTTAGCCGAACTTGTCCTCACCCTCAACAACTTCTCTTTCAATTCCTCCCACTTCTGACAGACAAAGGGGGTGGCCGTGGGTACCCGCATGGGCCCAAGCTACGCCTGCCTCTTTGTAGGTTACGTGGAACAATCCCTCTTCCGTACCTACGCTGGCCCTAAACCCCACCTCTTCCTCCATTACATTGATGACTGTATCGGCGCCGCCTCGTGCTCCCACGAGGAGCTCGAACAGTTCATCCACTTCACCAACACCTTCCACCCCAACCTTAAGTTCACCTGGACCATCTCTAATACCTCTCCTTCCTGGACCCCTCTGTCTCCATCTCGGGCAACCACCTAGTAACTGATATCAATTTCAAGCCCACCGACTCCCACAGCTACCTAGAATACACCTCCTCCCACCCACCTTCTTGCAAAAATGCCATCCCCTATTCCCAATTCCTTCGCCTCTGCCGCATCTGCTCCCAGGATGAGGCATTCCACTCCCGTACATCTCAGTTGTCCTCGTTTTTCAAGGACCGCAACTTCCCGCCCTCAGTGGTCGAGAACGCCTCAACTGTGTCTCCCACATTTCCCGCAACCCATCCCTCACACCAAAGAACCAAAAAAGAATCCCCGTCGTCATCACGTACCACCCCACCAACCTCCGGATCCAACGCATCATCCTCCGACACTTCCGCTATCTGCAATCCGACCCCACCACCAAAGACATCGTTCCCTCCCCACCCTTATCTGCTTTCCGGAGGGACCACACTCTCCGTGACTCCCTTGTCCGCTCCACACTCCCCTCCAGCCCCACCACACCCGGCACTTTTCCCTGCAACCGCAGGAAGTGCTACTCCTGCCCCCGTACCTCCTCCCTCATCCCCATCCCAGGCCCCAAGAAGACTTTCCACATCAAGCAGATGTTCACCTGCACATCTGCTAATGTGGTATACTGCATCCGCTGTACCTGTTGTGGCCTCCTCTACATCGGGGAAACCGAGCGGAGGCCGCTTTACAGAACACCTACGCTCGGTTCGCAATAAACAACTGCACCTCCCAGTTGCGAACCATTTCAACTCTCCCTCCCATTCCTCAGACGACATGTCCATCCTGGGCCTCCTGCAGTGCCACAACGATGCCACCCGAAGGTTGCAGGAACAGCATCTTATATTCCGCTTAGGAACCCTGCAGCCCAATGGTATCAATGTGGATTTCACAAGCTTCAAAATCTCCCCTCCCCCAACCGCATCCCAAAACCAGTCCAGCTCGTCCCCGCCTCCCTAACCTGTTCTTCCTCCCACCTCAAGCCGCACCCCCATCTCCTACCTACTAACCTCATCCCACCCCCTTGACCTGTCCGTCCTCCCTGGACTGACCTATCCCCTCCCTA